GGTTAGAATTATTATCATAAGTTTACAAAGGATGTCAATTTAAAATAAAAGGCACAACAGGGAGCATGTTTCTTCTAAAAAATAAAGCTAAACACAACTATCTCTTCCCAAATCCCATCCTAGAAAGGTGCACTTAAGACTTTCTTTAGTTTTCAGAGTTCAAAGCTGAAAATAGGAAAAACATAAAAAATCATCCTTAAGCTCTTTACTGGATGGTCAACTATTGCTAAAAGAAGAAATGAAAAAAGGGAAATAGAGACAAAAATGTATGAATCTGTACTCTTTTTTTGGCCAATGGATGAATGTCTACTTAACTTTATGAATTTAGAGCAAATCACCAAATTCATTTATTTTTATTATAATGAATTTTAAACAAAAATTTAGGGAAGCATTAAATCAGTTACATTCGCTTAAGTATCAGAAGTACTTCTGATGATTAAACAATACTGAAATTTGCACTAGTTAATATCTATGACCAACACGCACCTCCCAAGTTTGCTGGACTTGCAGCAAATTTTAAACAGATGGACTTGAGCTGTGTACAATGGTGCTGCTCAGCCAGTGCAAGAGTTGTTGCCACAGTGTCAGCATTCAGTTCCTCACACAATTTTGATTCACACAACAATTTCAGTCGATCCAGATTATAGAGATCAGCAACAGCTAATAGATGCTGTACCATGTTGGTGGATGTGCACATAGATGTTGAGCCTGTAACCTCATGTACATCAGGAAGCTTGTCTGTGTAAATAAAAAGGAGCATTGCCTGGAACATAAATTAAAATAAGTAAAGGAATGATGCCTGTAAGTTCATGATTTGGTTTGACTGGTGAATGACCAACATAAGCAAAATTAAAGGACAAGTCCTTTTCCTAGTTGTTTGCATACGGTTAATGTTGCCATAATATACGTCAGAAAATATGACATTTCATGGAGAGACATTTCAGTTAGTTCAGATCTAATGCAACAGAATACAATTCCATAGTTTGTTTCTACACACACACTCTCATGTACTCTTCAAAATCAAAATGCCAGATAATAATGTGAAGAAAGATCATTACCTTGAAGATTGAGGGCTCGATATCCTTCACTACAACTGCATCCAAGTTTGGAGGATCCCCAACAAGTCCAAAAAACTGTGCACTAAAAACAGGGGAACGGGCAGCAAGGATCAATTTATGAGCTTTAAATGTCTCATCACCAACCTGAAAAACCACATCACAACCAACTTCAGATTCTAACATCTCTTTAAAACCCTGACCCATTTCTGATGGTGGTACAGGGATGGAGTATTGATTTGGCCCCTCAAGGCGAGTTCTGACAACTCCAACAGTGCAGTTCATGATGAGACAATCGTCCTTTAGATAGTCAGAAGTTTCCAAAGTTATCCTTCTGAAGAAACGCTTGTATCCCCTAAAGATCATGCAAGAAATAGAAGGTAAAATATCAACCCAGTAATTCTACATCCCAAGAAAACAATTCAAACTGAAGAACTAAAGGAAGGGAAGAATAGAACCCATTACCACATGCTCCCTCTATACTTCAAAGTGTAGGGACCGCTCTCAAGCGCACGATCAAAGTGGCTATGCACCTTGTGCTTTCCTTTGCCGCTCTGGTCCATAAGCGTGAGCTCGAACAGAGCCCTCACATCGGTACCATCACTTGCCAGCGCAATAAACACCGAGACGTACATGGTGTTATCCTCCGGGTTTTTGCCGTCCGGGTAAAAGTAAATCGCCCAATCATATCCGCCCACCGTGAAAAAGTCGCTCGAGATGCATTTACCTGCTCCCATCCCCTTCGCCAACGAATACCCCTTGATCGTGAACTTGTGCGACCCATTCACCGTCTCGCTAACCGACTTTGACACTGAATCCTTGAAATCACCCATGATTTCATCGAGATTTGCGAAACCCTAATTAAACCTGAAATTCTACGACAGAGCGATAAGTTTGAGAATTAAGAAGAAGGGATCTCGGTGGCCGGCGGCTTCTCTCGGCGGGCAAACGAGATGGTGGCAGCAAGTAAAAAGACCGTCCCAGAAGCTTCGTCTTGAAGCAAAGGAGGCTTTTCCTGAACGGAGCCGTGGAGTTGGTTAAACAGAATTGCGTGCGGTTGCAATGGCGCGGAGAGTTTATATAAACATAAAATTAGAGAAAAAGAAAATTATTATTAAGCGGTACTAGATAATTATGAATTATTTGCTACATTTGAAATATTTTATTAATTAAAAGTAAAAAAAATATTATGTAATTTAAATTATATTAAATTATATAATTACGGTACTAGATAATTATGAATTATTTGCTACATTTGAAATATTTTAATTATTAAAAGTAAAAAAAATATATTATTAAAATTTTATATAAATATAATGTGTAAAATTTATATGTAATATGTGTAAAATTTATATGAAAATAGATTATTCATTATATATATATATGCATACTTTAAGAGAGTGATAAAAGAAAAAAAAATTAAATAAATTGACACAATGTTACCATGGCAAAAAATAAAAATAGAAATAACACACATGTTATGAGACATTAACAAAAAAATACCATATCAGTTTTTTTTTTTTTTTTTTTTTTTTTT